AAAAAAAAAAAAAAAAAGAAATAAAATAGGAAAAAAAAAAAAAACACAAAAAACAGAGTGGCAGAGGAGGTGGTAGATCCAGTTGGCCTTCATGGGCCCAGTGAATCAGACCTAGAAATTAATTCTGGGCGAGACAGCTCTTGGCTTGGTGCTTCCCAGGAAGGGCTTTGCCTAGGACTTCAGCTTAATCTTATTTCCCCTGTGCCTGACTTCTCCACTGTTGGGTCCCTGGGCTTCAGGACTAGGTATTTGGGTTCCTGTGGCTGAGGATCTCAACCCTAGTTGCAATAAGAATCACTTGGGGGAACTTTATAAAAATACCAATGTCTGAGCACTACCCCAGACCAATTAAATCAGAGTCTCTGGGGATGGAGTCCCAAACCCTAACCAAACCCACTGCTGTTGAGTCGATTCTGACTTATATTGACCCTATAGGACAGAACAGTACTGCCTTATAGGGTTTCCAAGGCTGTAGTCTTTACAAAAGTAGAGTGTCACATCTTTCTCCCACTTTGGTTAGCAGCCAAGTGCTTTAAGCACTGTGCTACCAGGGATCTTGGGATGGGACCTAGATATTGTTTTCTTTTTTAATTTCCTTATGTGATTTTTTTTTTCTTAACTTTTATTGATTTGGTTGAAAGTTTACAGAGCAAATTGATTATCCACTCAACATATTTTGACTTCTGACATTGTTTGCAATCCCCACAATGTGGCAGCCCTCTTCCCACTTCCTCCCTGTGTTTACTGTTTCCATTCATCCTTCTTTCCTATTCCTTTTTGCCTTTTGAGCTCCCTGGGCAAATGCTGCCCTTTTGATCTTGTATTGTTTGTTGTTCTAGGGAGTGCTTACTTCCCTGATGTTATTGTTCACTTTATAAGGCTGTCTATTGTTTGACTCCACCACTCATCTGTCAGTTTGTCATACTGTGGTGGCTTTTGCATTGCTATGAGGCTGGAGGCTATGCCACTGGTGTTTCAAATACCAGCAGGTTTACCCATAGTGGACAGGTTTCAATGGAGCTTCCAGAGTAAGACAGACTTGGAAGAAGGAAGGGGCCATCCACTTCTCAAAGAATTGGCCACTGAAAACCTTATGAATAGCAGTGAAACACTGTCTGATATATTACTGGAAAACTTTATGAATAGCCCTGAAACATTGTCTGATATGGTGCTGGAAGATGAGCCCTCAGGTCAGAAGGCACTCAAAATACGACTGGAGAAGAGTTGTCTTCTCAAAGTAGAGTTGAACTTAATGATGTGGGTGGAGTAAAGCTTTCAGGACTGCCATTTGCTGATGTGGCATGACTCAAAAGAAACAGCTGCAAACATCCATTAATAATCAGAACATGGAATGTACAAAGTATGGATTCAGGAAAATTGGAAGTTGTGAAGAGTGAAATGGAATGCATCAATATTGATATCCTAGGCATTAATGAGGAGCTCTGGTAGCATAGTGGCTAAGACACTTGCCTGCTAACCAGAAGGCTGGTAGTTCAAACCCACCAGCCACTCCTCGGAAGGAAGGTTGGGCAATCCTACTTCCGTAGTGATACTGCCTCGGAAACCCAAGGAGGGGTCGCTATGAGTCGGGGCCGACTCGACGGCACATAACAACAACAACAACAAGGCATTAATGAGCTGAAATGGACTTGTTTTGGCCATTTTGGATCAGACAACCATATGATCTACTATGCCAGGAATGACAAATTGAAGAGGAATGGTGTGGCATTCATCATCACAAAAAATGCTTCAAGATCTACCCCAAAGTACCATGGCATCAGTGACAGGATAACATCCATATGCCTACAAGGAAGACCAGTTAATACGAGTACTATTCAAATTTATGCACCAACCATGAAGGCCAAAGACAAGGAAATAGAAGATTTTTTTTTACCAACTTCTGTAGTCTGAAGTTGACCTAACATGCGGTCAAGAAATGTTGAATGTTACTGGTATTTGGAATGCAAAAGTTGGAAACAAAGATAAATCATCATCAGTTGGAAAATATGGCCTTGGTGATAGAAATGACACTGGAGAGCACGTGATAGAATTTTGTAAGACCAATGAATTATTTGTGGCAAATACCTTTTTTTCAACAATGCAAATGGTGGCTATACACATGGATTCACAAGATGGAATACACAGATTTCATCTGTGGAAAGAGGCAATGGAGAAGCTCAGAAGAACAGATTTGATGCATTGAACACCAATGACCAAAAACCAGAGGAATTGTGGGATGACATCAAGAACATCATACACGAAGAAAGCAAAAGGTCATTAAAAAGACAGGAAAGGAAGAAAAGACCGAAATGGATGTCAGAAGAGATTCTGAAACTTGCTCTTGAATGGAGAGTAGCTAAAGCAAATGGAAGAAATGACAAGATAAAAGAGCTGAACAGAATATTTCAAAGAGCAGCTCGAGAAGACAAAGTCAATTATTATAATGAAATGTGTGAAAACCTGGAGCTAGAAAACCAAAAGGGAAGAACATGCTCAGTGTTTTTCAGGCTGAAAGAAGTGAAGAAAAAAACTCAAGCCTCAAGTTGCAATATTGAAAGATTCTATAGGCAAAATATTGTGTGATGCAAGAAACAGCAAAAGAAGATGGAAGGAATACACCGAGTCACTGTACCAAAAAGAATTGGTTGATATTCATCTATTTCAGGAGGTGGCATATGATCAAGAACCAATGATATTGAAGGATGAAGTTGAAGCCGCACTGAAGGAATTGGTGAAAAACAAGTTCTCAGGAATTGACAGGGTATCTATTGAGATGTTTCAACAAATAGATGCCATGCTGGAGGCACTTACTCTTTTACGCCAAGAAATATGGAAGACAGCTACATGGCCAACTGACTGGAAGAGATTCATATTTGTACCCATTTCAAAGAAAGGTGATCCCATAGAATGTGGAAATTATCGAACAATATCATTAATATCACATGCAAATAAAATATTGGTGAAGATAATTCAAAAACAGTTGCAGCTGTGTATTGACAAGGAAGTTCCAGAAATGCAAGCTGGATTCAGAAGAGGATGTGGAATGAGGGATATCATTGTTGATGTCATATGGATCTTGGTTGAGAGCAAACAATAACAGAAAAATGTTTACTTGTGTTTTACTGATTATGCAAAGGCATTCCACTGTGTGGATCATAACACATTATGGATAACGTTGTGAAGAATGGGAATTCCTGAACACTTAATTGTGCTCTTGCGGAATCTGTACATAGACCAAGAGGCTGTCATATGAACAGAACATGGGGATGCTGCATGGTTTAAAATCAGGAAGGGAGTGTGTCAGGGTTATATCCTTTCACGATACGTATTCAATCTGTATGCTGAGCAAATAGCCCAAGAAACTGGACTAGATGAAGAAGAATGCAACATCAGAATTGGAGGAAGACTCATTAACAACCTGTGATATGCAGGCAACACAACCTTGCTTGGTGAAAGTGAAGATGACTTGAAGCAGTTATTGATGAAGATTAAAGACTACAGTCTGCAGTATGGATTATACTGACCATAAATAAAATGAAAATGATCACAACTGGACCAATAAGCAACATCATAATAAATGGAGAAAAGATTGAAGTTGTCAAAGATTTCATATTGCTTGTTTCTACAATCAACACCAATGGAAGCAGCAGTCAAGAAATCAGACAACATATCACACCTACTTTGGTCGTGTTGTCAGAAGGGACATTCCCTGGAGAAGGATATCATGTTTCGTATAGTAGAGGGTCAGTGAAAAAGGAGAAGGCCTTCAATGAGATGTATTGACACAATGGCTGCAACAATCGGCTCAGGTATAGCAAGGATTGTGAGGCTGGGGCAGGACATGGCAGTGTTTCGTTCTGTTGTACACAGGGTCAATATGAGTTGGAGCCAACTTGATGATACCTAACAACAACAACACCATTTTTGACTGAACGTTGAGCCTTTGGGGTGAATTCAACCCCAGATTTGAAGGGTGTCTAGGGGTCATAATCTCGAGGGTTCCACCAGTCTTTATCAGACCAGTAAGCCTGGTCTTTATTATTATTATTTCCCCCCACATTTTTCTCCTACTCTATTCAGGGGCTCCTATTGTGATCCCTTTTATAGTAGTCAGCAATGGTAGCTGGGCATCATCTAGTTCTTCTGCTCTCAGGGTTGTGGAGGCTGGGGTTTATGTCGTCCACTAGTTCTTTGGACTAATTGTTTCCATCCATGTTTGATTTTCTTCACTCTCCTTTGCTCTGCCCCATGAGATTATTATTGCAACCAGGGCTGAGAACTACAGCCCTGTGCTGGCAAAGCTGTTTTAGCTGGCTTCTAGAACCAGGTATTCTTCTAATTACTCATGGCTAGCTGTAGAAATGGCCCCAAACCAAAGAAAGTAGAAGATTCTTGTCTGTAGTTGGCTGTGTAGTGGGAGACCTATGAGAGAAGCACCTAGAGAGGAGGCAAGGGTTGTAGGCAGCTAAAGAAGCAGTTGGCATGGGGTGGAGAACCTTGTAAGAAGGAGTCAAAGTGACATTCTTCAAAAGACTCTACATTAAGAGAATTCACATTTTTTTGTTTTGAATTATTTCATTTCAAATAGATGTAGCAATTCATCTGTTTTTTAAACAATGGATAACTACAGTGTGGTCTTAACTGTCGTTTAGAATCTCATTTGGGTCACGCACACCCCAGAGGAGGCCTGCTTTTCTCAAGACTTCACTCCAACTGTGCCTGGTCTGGAATTCAATGAAGACTTTCCCAATAGACATACCGAGTGGAGTCTGGATTTAAATTCCACCATGTGCCCTGAAAACTTGTGGATTTCCAAAAATGATTACAGATAAACTTTTGGGCTCTGACCCTGGTGCTGAAATATTTGGAAACCAAGAGGGAAAAACAGATATTCTGATCAGCACCATGGGTAAATGCCACGTAACAGTGCAAGAGTAAAAAGGCTGATTGCAGGAGTTTTTGGACTTTTGAGGAACATTAGCCCTACTACTGAGAGAAGGGAATTTCTAGCCCCTTTACTTGGAACTGCCAGCACCAGGCAGGTTAGTGTAATAGGTAAGGGCCAGGCTCTGGAGGCAGATAGACCTGGATTTGACCAAGATACTCTAGGGTAAGTATAGTCAAATGTACAAAATATAGAATTTAGATCCTAAGGGTTAAGAGTGGACCCTGGAGTTGCCTGACTTCAAATCCTGACTCTGCTACTAATTTTCTGTACAGCCTTGGATAAGTGCTTAATTCCTTTAAGTCTCAGTTTTCTCCTCTGTAGCAAGGATAATACTGTACTTAATTGATTCTGAGACTATTTTTTTTTTTTCATACATTAACACCTCCATATGTGTCTTATAATCACCATTGGCCAAACAGAGACTCTTTTAACCCTTATTCACTATTCTTATCCAAAAGAGCTCTTTCAATAAAATAAAATACTATTTCTAAGTAATAAAACAGCATTGCCATGTTTAACTGGCAGTGTTTTTCTTTCTTAAACTCACTGCCATCGAGTTGATTATGACCTATAGTGACCCCCATTGTATTTCCAAGGCTTTAAATCTTTACAGAAGTAGATTGCCCCATCTTCGTTCCATGGTGTAGATGCTGGGTTTGAACTACCAACCTTCTGGTTAGCAGTTAAATGCCTTAGGCACTGCACCACCAGAGCTCCTTTTTATTTCTTAGTGGTACAGAAAACAAGGGTCTATCTTATAATTGATAACATTTCATATTCAATGACATAGGGTAATAGCACCTGTCTCGTGGTGTTGTATGAGGATGAAATGAGATAATGCAAAGAAAGGTGTTAACATGATGCTTGGCACAGTGGGAGGGCTCAGTTATATGTTAGGTATTAATTAGTATCTGTAAAAAATTACCAGTTGCCTTAAATAGGGGAAAATAGATAAGAAGTGGATTCCAGAGGATGGGACAGAGAAGAATTGGTACTGTGAACCTTGGACAAAAGGGGTGGAAAGGAGGCCCAGGAAGAAGATTTTACATACATGGAAAGACAGTTTAAAATAAGGTTAAGTTGTCAAAGGCATCCCAGGCCCTAAGTTGAGGGAGAGAGATTAACTCCATGGCTATTCCCAGAAAGAAAGGATCTTTGGAAACCATGTTGTTGCTGTTGTTGTTATGTGCTGTCGAGTCGGATCCGACTCATAGTGACCCCTCCTTGGGTTTCCAAGGCAGTAATCACTACGGAAGTAGATTGTCCAACCTTCCTTCCTAGGAGTGGCTGGTGAGTTTGAACCACCAGCCTTCTGGTTTGCAGGCATGTTGTTGTTGTTGCGATCCCTCCTTGAGTTTCCGAGGCATTATCACTACAGAAGTAGATAGCTCCATCTTCCTTCCGAGGAGTTGCTGGTGGGTTTGAACCGCCAGCCCTCTGGTTAGCAGTCCAATGCCTTAGGCATTATGCTACATTCCTATCTAATAAAACCTCCAAAATGTTCTTCCCTGTCCTAACAGAAACCAGGGTTGTGGAAAAGTGCTATGACTCTTCAAGCAAAGAAAAGGGAACATGCATAAGAACTCAATGGCCAAGAAAGAGCACTCAAAGGAAGCAGTGTCTCCAGAGTGTCATAAGAAGGGCCCTAGTACATATGAGCTGAACGTTTACATTAGGTAGATACACTCCTTGGAGAGAACAATCATGGGAGAATAGAAGGACTGTGTATGGACAGGGAGATAGCTCAGGGGGCAGGAGTGCATGGAGGGAAGGACACAGGGAAGTAACTATGGGGAGGAAGTGGAAGGGGAGTTATTGCATTGTGGGAAATTTCAGTCAACATCATGAGACAAAGTGTATGTGAGCTGCTATATGGAAAGTGAATTTTCTCTGTAACCTTTCACCCAAATCACAATAAAAAATAAAAATAAAAAAGAAGGGTGCTGGTAAACATGAGGTCTGATCCTGCCTTCAACCTTCCACTGATCTCTGTAGTCACTACCAAGATTCTGTGCAATGAGAAAAATGGGTACAAAGTTCCACCCTTAAAGAGGAAGACACACTTTGGTCCTTTCCCTTTAGACCTGAACTCTAGGGAGTCAGCTTTTCAAAGTACAGTATGACAGGGCTTATCTGCAGGCCCTGCCACCCCTGGTTCTGAGCCAGTCTTCAAAGGCATGGGAAAATATAAATGGCCTATATGCCACCAGAGCTCCCATTTCTACCATTGAGTGGGACCTGGAATAAAGTATCATTACTAGCCAGAACAATATCCAGGACCTTGTTGGCATGTGCTGAACACTGGATTGTAGCTCTTGGTTTCAATAATTGCCTAACATGCCTTGTGAACATGGTCTTGGGCCATTGATTGTCTCCCTTGGGCGTGCCTCTGTGTTTGCTTTAGTTCTCTTCAATTTGGTGCCACCCTAGCAAGAAGATCTCTGTTTGATCTTGGTTCTCTCTCTCTCCTCACAGGTCATGATGATATTCTTGAGATACAAAAATGCCTCAAATTATAATGTCAGCAGTATTTACCACACTAAAAGTTAGAAAATGGAAAAAAAATCTGATTCATCATACTCTTACATAGTATAGCTGATGCCCTATTAGCGAGGTGTCTAAGACTGGCTTTAAACTAACTAGGTTGGCTTTTCTACCTGTGGTCAATTTTTAGAACTTCTCTTCTTACTTCTCATACTCATCCAATCCCTAAACCTCAACTACTCTATATACTTTGATGGCTCACTAATCTAGAGTCCTAATCCTAAACTAGGATAATCATAGCCCATATAATATTTCTTTTGGGGGATGTATACTTGGATTATCTCTGGCTCTGGAAAACTTGCTGAAACACCCTGAAGGAAGAAGGAGATGGATATGTTCTCGGTCGGTTCCACTGTTGTGTAGCCAGGCTTTGAAGAAAACCTCCATGCTGATAATATCGTTGTCTATAATCTGAAGGTCAATGTCAGTTCCCAAGATGGAACTCTCTGCAGGAGAAAAAGAAATAGTGGTTAAAGTGTTTTTTTTTTTTTGTAATTGGAAAATTAAAAAAAATAAAAAATGTAAAATGTACTTATTTGGTTCTCTAATGTTGCTCTAACAGAAATACTACAAGTGGATGGGTTCAACAAACAGGGATTTATTCTCTTACAGTTTTGGAGGCTACAAATCTGAGTTCAAAGTGCCAGTTCTAGGGGCTAGGTGAAGGCCCTTTGACTTTGGGCTTCAGCTCTGCCTCTTGTTCCCAGCCCATTGGAGCTGGAGGTATCTCTTATCTCAAGCAGCTGCTGGCTGCTGAGTCTGACAAACTCGAAGTTGACAAATAAAATGGCACAGTCCCCAGATTATTAAGCAACATGGCGGCCACTAGTTCAAGTTCAGAAACAGTCTCAAGATCGGCAGACAACATGGCAGGCTATTCACTGATTACTCAGCCAAATGCAGGCTCCAAATGTGCCAGGAAGCTAGAGATCTTCCTCAAAACTTCTTCTTATATACTGGAAGCAGACTACATCCCTAAGGCAGCTACTCTGCTGCTCACAGTAGATTCCACCATGGAGCTGATTACCAATCTCATCATGGGGAATAACTATATCTAGCTGCCCAGGCAATCAAAACCAGGCCCAGCCAAGTTGACACACCACCTTGACTACCACAAAACCCATCAAGTCTACCTCCAGATATCTTGCTGTTGTTGTTAGATGTATAAATTTTGGGGCAGTAAACAAGCAGACATATAGTACTAACAAAAAATCAAAACCCCAAATGGGAAGCAATTCCAATGTCCATCAATAGAGGAATGTTTACATAAATTATAGCATGCCCAGACTATGAAGTATTGTGCAGCTGTTAAAAAACAAAATAAAGCTATATGTACTAACATGGAAAGCTAAGAGATAGTAAATGGATAAAGAAAACTTGTAGAAAAGATACATAGTATGATATTATTCATATAAGAAATAAAAATTTGCATTAATGCATACATATATATGTAAATTCATTTTATATAAGTCTGGTAGGCTATCATCACTGTTAAAGTGTGGACAAGGAGTGCGAATGTGGGGGTTCTGAGCCATTTTCCCTTTTTACTATTCACACTTCTATACTGTTTGAATTTTATTGTAACCATGTCTTTTTTGTGTTTATAAAACATGCTAGAATATAAAAACAACCAAAAAAATAGAGCAAGGAAAGTTAAATACTTAGCTAACAAGAGGGACTTTAGCTTTACGTTGTCTTACAGTGCAAATGCATTCAATTATTACTTCTGTTCTAAAACATACATTTGAAAAAGGCTAAAAGAAAAACAAAGATTAACTCTTGAGCTCTACTTTATGATAGAGATCATACGAGTTTGTCTTTCGTGGGGTTAGCAGTAAAGAAGATGGGGTAGTCTGATGTAGAGTGTTTTAATTAATGGTAAATGCAAATGAACAGAGCTGGGAAGGGTGGGGATCATGAGGCTTTGCTGGTATTGTACCTGCTTCAGGCAACACTAGTCAGGAATTGGCGGAAGTCTTGGTCTGCAGGTAAAGTCTTTCAGTGTAAAACCAAATGTGAAGTGATGGAGGAAGCACAGACAGAGGAAATGAGGCAAGAGCTGGAAAGAAACTGAAGAGGAAACCAACTTTCTCCGTTTTGCCATGAGGGACTCTCTGAAATACTTTTACAAAGGGCTTAAGAAAAGCTAGTTTCTCCAATGAATTAACTTCTGTGTATGATTAACAGACCTCGGGGAAAAATCTGGTTTATTTCTAGAACGACATTCCTGAGGACAAGTCTGCAGAGGTGGCAGCCTCTTCACAGGGAACAAAGGGGCTTCAGTCCAGTGTGCTGGTATCCAGCACAGGGGAGGTGTGGTGAGAGTGATGACTTCATGCCATATTCAACGATTCATTCTATGCCTGGAAAGGGTCACTGTTCTGGTTACTTAGTGCCACTCTGACAAGAATATACCACAAATGGGATGGCCTTAAAAAACAGGAGTTTATTCTCTTACAGTTCGGGAGGCTAGAAGTCCGAGTTCAAAGTGCCAGGCTCTAGGGGCTGGGTGAAAGCCCCTCTACTTTGGGCTTCAGCTCTGCCTCTTGCTCCCGGCCCACTGAAGCTAGAGACATCTCTTCACTTAGGCAGCTACTGGCTGCTGAGGCTAACAAGCCCAAGGTCAACAAATAAAATGGCACAGTCCTGATGTTATCAAACCACATGGCAGGCCATTAATTCAAGTCCATTTTAAGTCCCAAGGTCAGCAGAACATGTCAGGCTGCTGAACAATGACACGGCTACATGCAGGGTCCAAGCGTGCCATAAACTAGAGACCATTCCCCAAGGCTTCTCCTTATATACAGGAAGCAGATCACATCCCTAGGGCAGCTACTCAGCTGCTCACAGTAGATTCCACCATGGAGGTGATTACCTGTCTCATCATGGGGAATACTATATCTAGCTACTCAGCCCCTCAACCAGGCCTAGCCAAGTTGACACACAAACTTAATTACCACAGTCACCAAATGCATTTTTCTTTTACCAGTATCATCAAAACTCTATCTTCCATGGATAGTTATGAGGATTCATTAGTTAACTTGTTATTTCATTCATTCCAGCAAGAAGTAATACTTATTAAGTATCTACTAAATAGGAGCTCTGGTAGCGTCGTGCCTAAGGCACTTGACTGCTAACCAGAAGGCTGGCGGTTCAAACCCACCAGCCACTCCCACCAGCCACTCCTCAGAAGGAAGGTTGGGCAATCTACTTCCGTAGTGATATAGCCTCAGAAACCCAAGGAGGGGTTGCTATGAGTCGGGTCTGACTTGACGACACATAACAACAACAACAACAATCTATTACATACAAGATAAAATATTGCACAGGGTGCAAAGATATATATATATATATATATATATATATATATATATATATATATAACAACAGCTATATATATATAACATTCTTTGCCTTTGAGGAGTTTATGGAGCAACATTATTCTTGACCATTTCTGTTCAAACTCTCATCTGCCCTATCTTGCTTTAGGGTGTTGCAGTGATAAATATGAAGTAATTTGCCCAAGGAAAGTTCCTTGTAAGTGAAGATAAATGTTCTTTTTAGTAATGTGAATCTTACTTTGTCACAAGTAAAAAATAATTTTTCTTAGTCTGAAGCTTGGACTTCAACTTGAGGAACAGGTATGGAAATGACTGAGCAGCTTCTCTTGAGTGAGGTAAATAGTTATTGAAGCTTAAGGGGGCAGTTCCAGAACCAAAGACATGGGATTGAGAAAAGGAGCTCAGAAAGTAGAGAAGAAATATTGCTTGGAGTTCAAAAAACAAAATTTTGGAGAACTTTTTTTTCTCCCCAGGGGAAGGGTAGAAAATTAGAAACTCCTACTGTGGGCAGTATCCATCACTTGTCTATCAGTTTGTCACACTGTGGTAGCTTGCGTTGTTGTGAGGCTGGAAGTTATGCCACCAGTATTTCAAGTACCAGCAGGGTCACATGATTGACAGGTTTCAGTGGAGTTTCCAGACTAAGACTGACTAGGAAGAAGGACATAGCCATTCACTTCTGAAAAAATTGGCCACTGAAAACTTTATGAATAGCAGTGAAACAGTGTCTGATAACATGCTGGAAGATGAGTCCCTCAGCTTGGAAAGCACTCAAAATACAACTGAGGAAGAGTTGCCTCCTCAAAGCAGAGTCGGCCTTACTGATGTGGATGGAGTAAAGTTTTTTGGGACCTTTGGTTGCTGATGGGGCATGACTCAAAATGAGAATAGCTGCAATCATACATTAATAATAGGAATAAGGAATGTACATATGAATGTGAATCTAGGAAAATTGGAAGCTGTCAAAGTTGAAGTGGAATGCATACAGATCGATGTCCTAGGCATTAGTGAGCTGAAATAGACTGATATTGGCCATTTTGAATCAGTGCGGTGTAGTAAATTACTTAGTGTGGCTTTTCTACCCATAAGTCTTTGTAAACTCCAAGGTGGGAATTGCTATTAGCAACTGAGGAGATCCTGATTTTAAAGTCGCCCACCTGGGTTATTTCTTTTGGGCGTGGCACAATACAATGTTCTGGGAGGTTTCCACACTCTCTC